AATTCAATGTTGTTGTTTTTTTTGTCATATTGTGTACGTACTTATTTTATTACTTAATTATTATTTCCTTGCACTTTCTTTTCTATATTTTGGATGCTGCTGTGGCATGTAAATTTCCCCCAATGGGGGATCAATAAAAATAATTCTATTCTATTCTTGTATTGGCCATGTTTCATGGTGTCCGGAAGTGAAGACGATGAAAGAATTGGAATCACTTAGGTGTTAAATGTTCTCCATGTCAGAACTTATTCAGAAAATATAGAAATCTCCCATTAAGTGCACTCTTTTTTAAAAAATTCAAAAGCCACCTTGAAATTGTGGCCGTTTCCATCAACTTTTTCCGATGCACTGTTTCGAAATTTGTTTAAAATGTATTACGGAGACCCGGCTGATGCAGAAGACTGAGAAAAACCTCCGTCCTAGTTTGCTTGTGGCTTCATACTTTGTTCATACTCAGGTCCTGAAAAATGCAAAGTCAGAGCGCTGGATATATAAGCCCTGAGGAAGCAGAAAGATATGACATCAGCTATATGACAGTTGAGTGAAAACAACGAGCCCCTGCATCAAGGCTGTCTAGGCTTTGTCAGTGTCTGTCTGGGAGCAGGAGGAAAGAGGGGGCTGGTGCAGGAATGAGTGAGCAAAGTCTTTGAAACCTGCTCTATAATTAGCAGGGGTACTATATCAATGGCAGGTTGTCTGGACCTGCACAAATATGCATGTGGTTCTGATAATGAAAGAGAAAAGAGAGGCAGCAGCTCCTGATCCAAGATGCACTGATATCTGTCCTTTCTCTGAGCATTTTTCCTTCACACACATATATTCAACTCAAATAAAAGTGGACTCACAAGTGAGAATGTCACCGATAGAATCTGATTTCATTCACTGACAAAACATTTTCATTCCTGCATTATCTGAAGCTCTGCCGCGACCGACGTGTGTTGACCTCGGATGGAGTGAGCGCTGACTCGTCGATGCGGCCTCACTTAGTGAATCAAAGTCGCAGTAATGGCCAGAGTGGGTCAATGAAATGCAGAAGCGAAGAGCTGTCACCCGGCTAATGTGGCTTCCTGCTCTAAGCTGCTTCAGTGGAGTTTAAAGTCGCACTACTGCTGCTGCCGCTGCTGCCGTCCACTGAAACTCTTAATTCCAGAAGCTGCACGAAGCAGAAGAAGGCTGGAGTGAAATCCAGAGACGAGGAAGGACGGTAACTGCAGAGCATAGCTACACGGTCCTCAATGTTTTGTCTCGAGTTGTTAAAGCAGGTGGAACAAAAACGGCACAGAAGAAAAGCCTCAAGCAGCTCGCAGCAGAAGAGTGAGAAAGTGTAACCGCTGCAGGCCGCTGTCTTACATGTTACATAAGGTGTTCTGTGGATGAATCAAGGTGCTGCGTGACCTGATTTCTCTCAGTTCAGACGTTCTGGATGACTGCTTTCGACAGAAATGTAGTCATAAGTAATTTCAGAAGAAGCAGGTTAATTAATTTATTATTCCCGAGGAAAATCCCCAGTGTGTGCAAAGACTTGTGAACACGACACACTTGTTAGCAGCCGCATCAACGCAGAAATCTACAAGATAAGATAGTGATCCAGCCTGCTCCACTGTGGTATTCAATTGCAACCTATTTTTCTCTGGAAATTACTTGGAATTCCAGTTTTTCTCTTTTTTTTTTAAACAAGTGTGAAAGAAATCCCATTTAGCCACAGTTCAAAGCACTTCACGGTTTAACTGAAGGTTTATGTTGTAATACTACAACTACTACAACACATCTTATCACTTTCTAGCCTCACGTTGTCGGACTTATCTTCACTGCACTGTGGCTGGCTGCACCAAATCATCATTCTGGGACGAAGCTTGTTTGCATTTCTTTAAATCAATCGTAATCATCTTGCGAGACGCTAAGCCCAGGATGCAGCAACGGTGTCCCTGCAAAATAGTGACAGGGGAACTTGTTCAGGTGGAATATTTGCATGCAAATGGCTAATTCACAGGAAAAAAAACTAGCATGGTTGCCTGACTGCACAATCCAAATCTTTGGCAAAACTTGCTGTGTGGAGCTTGTTGTTGTTGTTTGCTGCAGTGAAGGAGACATGGAAACACAAAGACAGCAGCACAGGAGGGGAAAGCAGAATGAAATGTGTCAAATAAGACAGTTTGCAACACTTCAGATTCAGTGACACCCTGCTCTAGTGTCCACGTGGAGAGAATCATCACTGTGTGGAGTTTCACTCTGTTTTGCTCTGTGGTGCCGTGCGACTACTGTTTTCCTCTTTTTGGTATATTGTGAGTCCGTCTCTGGCACGGTCTGTATGAGGAATGTGGTAAACTGCCAGCCATGTGCTCGTGTACCAGAAAAGCCAGAGGGCCACTTGCCGCCACAAGTATTACAGCTCCCCCTCCACACTGTGTAACTTAAAACCCAGCAGAGTGCTCTAACACGGGACGGCACTGCAGCGCCTGGCCTGCCTGAGGAGCTCTGATGGCAGTCCAACGCAGACATTGATGGGGTGTCACAGGAGAGCTGTCCAAACACAGGGCTGAGGGATATATGCCAGGCGCCTGGTGTGTTTGCGAGACGGAGGATAAAAGAGGAAGAAGGAGTATTTTGGCATGGATTGGGATCATTAGATTACCTAAAAGAAAAGAGCTTTTTAGTTTTGAGTTTTCATCTCTGCTGTGATATTTTGAAGTGCATCTTGAATTGTTTAGCAGGATTCTCTGGTATAAATAGTCGTGTCAATAAATCACAGACAGTCGGAGTGTCGCTTAAGACTTCCGAGAGCACAAAGCAGACCTCTGTTGCTGATAGTGGATGAAAAGCTCAACACGAGATGAACCAAAAGCGAAAGAGAAACACTGCAAGTCCTTTGACCCAAATGTGTCTCGCCCAGCATATGAAAACCTGCAGCACCAGAGGATGTCGCAATATGAAACAACAACTCGAATGATGTTTGTCTAAATCACCACCAGATGAACTCTTCATAACCAGCGGGGTGTTAATGAGAGGCAGCACGAGTGACACCTTCCCGACATCTGATTGTGATCATCTGACACATAATTCAATATGAATCTGCAGCGGTGTCGTCCTCTGGCAGCCGCATCACGAAGGCCCGCCCCCACCCACTGGGCTCTCCGTGCCTTGACCTGCTCCATTTACACCGATTGTCATTCAGATGAGGCGAGGTGTGGGGGGGCTACTGTTGTTTAAGGCTACCCCTGACACCATTAATATGAAAAGCACAATTAAGAGTAATTAGGCTTTTCCAGGCAAAAACAAAAAAAAGAGAGAAAAAGGGGGTTATCCGGAAACCCAGCACGCAAGATCTCCTGCACGACAACATGTGGCACGAAGGGATTTGATATCCTTTCATCCAGTAATATTATGGCCTCCATGGATGAACTAGAAGCTGAAACATGTCAATTGGATGTGGCTCTCTGTGGTGACGTCCACACAGGAAACAACAAAACTTAAATGTGAGGAGTCAATTGAAAAGTGCAGCTTTGACCACAGTGATGCTGCATTTACTTTAATTTAGCTAAATTCTGAATGGAGGCTGGTTGAACTGAGAAACCTGGAGGATCAGTGGATCACAAACAGTCATCCAGTAACACTTTTAACCATCTAGTTCAAATTGGAACTGATTAGATGAAGCCGCTTGAAGGCTGAAGTGCAAATTTACCTGCCTTTCATTTACAGCGTCATGACAACCCTCAACCAGGACGACTCACAACTGTGCAAAATGTGCATCTTATTCTAACTGCATTCAACATGATGCACGGCAGCATAAAAAGTAAGCCAGCAGCCCTGCTTCAAACAGCCAGAGCAGGCATTTGCAGAAGGAACAACTAAATCTCTGCAGACATCTCCAGGTTTAAATTGGCTTTAAGAAGGGTCTGGTGCTATCAGTCCCCACACATAAATACCTTAAGGCAAAGTAACCCATTCACAGACCACAGGAAGCGAAGGGTCTGAGGGGGGGACATGCAGGGACTTGCTGAACCTCGACTTAAAAAAAGGAAAAGGCGGAAGTAAATCCACTGGGGTATGTCCACGCTGAGGCACAAACTTGTTCCGGAGATGGATAATTTTGGGAGGTGGAGAGGAGAAGAGGAACACAGGTTTTCCTGACTGGAGACACACACACACATAATGGGTTGTGACTGTGTGTGTGTGTGTGTGTGTGTGTGTGGTGGGGAGGGGGTGTGAGAGATTAAAAGAGCCAGGGGATGGCTGCATGCTGTGTTATCAGGGTAATGAATTCTTACTGGTGGTTAAGCAAAGTTCAATACAACTTTCAAACGCCCCAGAGACACCGAGAGGTCAGATTAGTGGGAATCAGCCCCCAGCAGAGGTCTGTGTCTTTCACCAATCATAACACACTGGCATTTGCTGGACTTTAAACGTGCCCCCAAAAAGGTGAAAATTAGAAACACCCGAAAAGGCAACTTGCTCCCTGAACGAATCTGTGCGTAACTGTCAAAGTTCAATTTAACTTCGCTGCAGTTTCCAAACTTTAAAGGCTGCAGCTTCTAGACAGAGAAGGACGGTTCCTGAGTGAGTTCTAGTAATAGGTGGCGTTAAGTGGCTGCTGGCATGAGGTCTGGACAGCCAGACTGTCACACGCCCCTCAGCGTGGGAAGACATGGAAACATGAGCGCAAGTCCTCCAGCACTGACTCATGTGCACCAAAACTGCGAAGGAAATACTCATTTGCGGCTCAAATTATGTAATGAAAAAGAAAATACGACACATGAAATAGAAAGTGTCACACCAAATAAAGTGGATTATTAAGCCTTGGTGGCGCACAAAAGCGACTTCACCGCAACTTCGGAGGGTTTAAAGTGCATTTCTGGACTGATTTCACAGCACGCTGCCCTTCACTTCTTTATGAATCTGTTTGTGTACAGAGGTCATTGATGGAAAACTTCGCCTCCTCCTGCAGTTTCCTCTCCAAGACGCGCGCTGGACGCAGCTCCAGAGTAAAACAGATCTGTACTTACGCACTGCCTCCTGTTTGGGGTCCAACTCGGAGCAGGTCTGCTGGAGGTGGCTGATCTTACTCTGCAGCCCCCTGACCCGCTGGTTGGTGGACGTGAGGTCGTTTTCCAGCTCCTGGAATATGGAGCAGGCATGTTTGGCCAGGTCCGACAGCTGCCGCAGGGTCCGAGACAGAGCCACATTACTGATGGAGATCAGATCCTCGAAAACCAGACCCTCCTCGTTGGGGATTTGATACCTGCACAGTAACTGAGGTTCCACGACTCTTTTGGCAAATGGCATGTTGTTGCGGACCGCTGAATAAATCCGACAAAAGTCGCCCAAGAGTGAGCAGAAAGCGGCGCTCTGGCCTCGGCCCCTGATCCGGTTGGTGTGAATTCAGCTGCTGCTGCTGCTGATGCCCCCCATCCTTTCATTTGTTAGAGAGGACTGTTGTGCTCCTCGCTGCTGCGCCGGGTCATCTGCTGCCCTAATGCTGGTGTGTTTTTCACTGCTCCAAAGTAGAGGTGGTTTTTAAAAAAAGAGGCAGTGGGAAAAGCTGGAGTGGATTCAGAGGGATTTGTGGATCAGGACTCTCAGGCTGTAGAGTCACCCGGAGTGTAATGATCCTGCAGCCCTAATAGGAGACACTGTCAACACAGCAAACCGCAGAATATTTATATTAAAAAATCAATAATTATCAAAGATGGCATCAAATCAAATGGTGTTTTCATGCCTTTCCAGCTTGTTGTCCTGTTTAGTATACGCATGAAAACATCCTCTCGGGCCCATCTGAGAGTATAAAGTACAATTCTTTAAGGATCCCTCCCTCCTTGCTGTGGCTGCTTTGTGCAACTTACATGGACATGCCATTAGGTATATTTTCCTAAATTTGTCTACTACTCAAAACTACAACTGAAACATCCATCCATCCACTATCTATACACCGCTTAATCCTCACTAGGATCGTGGGGGGCTGGAGCCTATCTCAGCTGACTTAAGGCGAAGGCAGGGGACACCCTGGACGCGAACTGGCGACCTTCTTGCTGCGAGGCAACAGTGCTAACCAATTGCACCACCCTGCAGCCCACAACTGAAACAATTAGCTGGAAACTTGCTGACAAACAGTTGGTACATATTTGAAGTCATTTTTAGACCCAAAATGCCAACGCAATCGCTGCTCTCTGCTTCTATGTTGATTAAAATGTGAATATATTCTGGTTTTCTTTGCATTCCACAATAATAAATGTAAAAGTTTGGAGAAATGAAGACAAAACATGTTTCATTTTGTCACTTTTGACTCTGAGAAACTGTCTGTCATGACATTCGTCACTATTTCCAAGAACATCATTTGCACATTATAATCAAAGTAGTTGGTAACAGAGAACATTTTTGGCAAGAATCACATCTTTTCTAATTAAAAAAACTTTTAACATTTATTTTGTGGGTGACATTTGTTTGCAAGTAATCAGGACTTTAAGCTTCTAATGAGCTGAACAACCAAACTGTCTGCAATCAGTAATGAATTATATGAGAGACCGACGTTGTCAAACTACCAGGCAGGTTACTAGGAGTTATCTAGTTATTAACTAGATCCTGCTCCTGGAGCAGTGTGCAGATCTGTATTGTAAAAAGCCATGACAAAGTGAAACAACTTACCAACAATGAACACTGAAGAACCCATCCATCCATTATTTATACACCACTCAGTCCTCACTAGGGTTGCGGGGGACTGGAGTCTATCCCAGCTGACTTAAGGTGAAGGGGGACACTTGGACAGGTCACCAGTCTATCACAGGGCTACACTTAGAGACAGACAACCAAGCACACTCACATTCACACCTACGGACAATTTAGAATCATCAATTAACCTCAACATGTTTTTGGGAAGCCGGAGAACCCGGAGAGAACCCACGTTGAGCCACCTTGCAACCCACTGAAGAACCCAATAAGGCAAATTTTAAACTAGGATAGAACTTTATTGATCCCTTTGGTGAAAACCTCAGGGAACTTGCTGAAAAAAAACTAAAACACAACCTAAACATTTACGATACAATTTGATGTGTTGTTGAGTTTTTTTGCTTGACTATATGTGTTATATGTCTTGACTTATTGGTTTGCTGTGTGTGGATCCCAGGAAGAGCAGCTTTTACTACAGTAGCAGCCAGTGCAGATCCAAATAAAGAATAAAGTCAAGCTGAGAAAGTAATGACTGCCCCACTTCTTATTAATGGAAGTCCTTGGTATCAGTCTGAAGAGTGTCTGAAGGCTTCCTGATTTTAAATATAAAACTCCTGATGACGAACGTCTGAGTGGAAACACATGGGTTTATCCATGCATTCATAAAGGGTTTTTATATTTAAAATCAGAGAGCCTTGGATACTGTTTGGACCGGCAACCAACACTAAGGACCTTCATCAATAAGAAATGGGACGGTCATTATTTTTTCATCTTTACTCAGTCCTGGCTCCATCTGTGAAGAGCACCTGCTGTTGTTTTTTCTTCACTTTTAAACCGTCAGCTTTATTATTCTTGACCCAGTGCAACACACTTTTTCTTCAGAAAACAAAGTTCCAGCAACTTCTACATACAGTACGTGGTTTGACAAAGTCCAAATAACCACGACTGTATCACCAAATAAGTATGTTTTAGATGATTTGTTGAAGGGGTATCCAACACATTCTTGAAACTACAAGAATTCCTCTTTTACTTTGCCACATCCCTGTGTAGGTTAATCTTTGCTTTCACCTCGGTGTGTGGACCTGACAGGCTGGACCGAGCTTCATTCACATTTGCTGAATGAGTGTTTAGCTAAATCCCACCAGCTGACAGGGCCAGAATCGACAGAGGTGACAGCCTCAGAGCTCTTCCTGTGGCCTAACCAATGTCCACACCAGAAGTGCAACCTTTGCAAAGCCCGACCAGGGACAAAGGATGGACAAGAGCAACGGCGTATGTCGTCATCTTTGAGTAATGGTGCTGCAACAAAAGGCCTAACTTGAACGAACAAAAGCTGGTAATCTTTGTTGTGAGAAGAGTCAGCTTTAACTTGCAGCCACCAGGGGTGATATGCATACAGTTTATTTACACTGGACTTAGAAAAAGTGCTCTGTGTGTCCTCATCAGTCAACACTGTATACAGCAGTATACTACAATACAATATATTGTATCAGATGTAGAGGAACCTAATGCAACAACAAAAAACATTTGTCCTCCCATTGTCAAGGAATATGATTTGTTCTTTGGTTTAGTTCCAAGATTGTTCCTCGGAGAACTATCATTGGTAGATTTATTATACAGTTCAGAGCCTATCTGTTTCTCTGTTGGTTTCTCTGTGCTCTTTAGTCATGGGTTAGCATGCTCTTATCCATTGATCTGGGTCAGTGGTAAAGTGGTCTCATTCCCACATAATCTGTTAACTTCTGCATTTACCTCAAGACGCTGGATCTTTGTCTCAAGCAAAGCATTCTTCTGTAGAAGTTTGTGGTAGCCATTGCCAGACAGGGGAAGCATTTTGAGGCCAGTTATCTTGATGCTAGTTTGGGAGCAGGAGGTTTTGAAGTTTGGAGTTGAAGTGGCTGCTCCATTTGGGAGTTAGAGGAGGTGTTCTTCCTTATTTAAGAAACATTTCTATTCAGCTGTCCTGGATTAGATGCCCCACCTTTCTTTTAAAAATACAAGCCAAAGGTGGTTTACTAGATTCCAGTCAGGCCAAGTCATAAATTTTACCTTTTCCTACCTCAGACACTCTGGTTTTGTGCTTTGGGTTGACATTCCTCTTCTACAAAGCTTGTGCAGGCTCATCTTGCCAGCCAGTGTTTTGGTATATCCACATACATTCATGGCCCCATCGATGTTTGTCATCTTGCCACTGGTTTTTGCACTCATGCAGCCTCATACCACCGCACTTCCACCTACGTGCTTCACTGTCAGGGCTACGCATTAACTATGGTGGCCAACTTCAATGGACCCCATCTGAGCTGAACAAACTTACCATGGTCTCATCTGACTAAACAATGTGCTCCCAACATTCATCGGGCTTCTTTTATATTTTCTTTAGCAAAGGTTAATCTTGCAATGTCGTTCCAAAGAGCAAGCAAGGGTTTCTTTCTTTCTTGGATGCCATTTATACATGTTGATGTTATGTAACGTCCTTCATGATGTCTGAGCTGTCGTGGACACTCTGGTTCATAAACACTTTATGAAGTTGAAGCATTTGCCCGTCTGTTTCTCAGAAGCTGATTTTATAAGTATTGCGCCGTCTGTGGCATCATTTTTAGGAGGATGGCCTCAGCAGCTCTGATTAGTGGTACTATGGCTGATTCCACACCTCTTGATTACTGCAGTAGATGTATTTTGAGTTATTTGAGAAAGTCTTCTTTAATCATTATATAGTCACGTTTGTGACGTTTATGCTAAATGGAAGTCACAGATGTTTTTCTTTTAATGATCACAGGTTTGGAATTTGGAATCATTTGACATTTAAATGACTTTACACACGGGTGTACTCACTTCCGTTGTGTTCTCTATATAGCTGACTTCATTTAATCATGTCTGAGTTGCTTCTTTTAACATTTTGTCGTTAGTGTGGTTTAATTGGGATGAACTGATATATCAGTGTAGGATTTCTGTCTTCGAGCACTAAATATCCCTCTCCAGCGACATGAATCATTAATAGTAATGGCCGTGTCCATAATGATAAGCCAGTTGCTAAGTGGGAGATAGCTAGATGGCAATTATATCAAACAGGCGTATACTTAGAGGCAACACATGGCTGACACATATAGTTTCCTCATCACGTGCAGCTGTCATCTTGAAATGCAAACCAAACACTTTTAAGTGGTATTTATAGTTCAGTGAGTATGGCTCCCTGTTAAGCTGTCTGATTTAATGAGTACACACACTCCTATCCTGATGTATACGATGAAATAAAACCTACAGTGCAGGAGGAGATGCTGTAAGTTGATGAGGCAGGTAGTGACACGCAGGCCTGTGCCAAATATTGGTTATGGCACAGAGGAAGTACGAGCGCCGTGTTGTTGTCTGGCATCCCGTGTCTGTTTCCCAGACTGAACCGATTCACTGTGCGGCTCATTCATTTTCTCCGTTCATTTTCTCAGATGTGGGAGCAGCGATTTACACCAGAAGGCTTTCACACAGGCTCAGCAGCTTTCCTTGAATTAAGAATCGGTTTCACTTTGCTCTTGATTAAAAAATGCGGGTTCTCTGCTAGGCTCATTTCAGTCTTGGAGGACACTTAACATCCTGAAAATCAGTTAAATGTGGCTGTTTCCACTCTGTATTTTTGGCCTTAAAACAGCTTTTCAGAGTGACACAAGACTGTTTTTGAAATAGCGTGCCTCCTTTTAATTTACCAAACAGTAAGTGACTTGTAACAGATTTTACCTTCACATTTATCCTGTTTTAAAACTCCTCACCAAATAACACTGTTTTTCTGTTTTATGCCGTAAAACAGTCCTTAGCAGTGATGGCTGTTTTTGAAAAAAGGCTGTCTCCTGTAAATTTTCACTGAAAGAAACTTTTATATTTATACTGTTCAAGATTTTGTTTCAGTTTACAGAATAAACCCTTGGGGATCGATTCAAAATTTAAATCTCAGATGTGTTGGCTGCTGTAAGAAGTGTTATACTGTGTATTCAGAAACAAAATAGGATCATGAAGTTATTAAAAGTAATAAAAAAGATGGAAGGCCCAAATATTTATACAGACAGCGCAGCTATGGCACCCTGTGTGTGTAAATGATGTTTGCTGTAACGCTAAACTAATAACTAGAATAACAAAGGTAGATTATTAGTCACAGATATTATATATATTTATATTAAGTCTAGAATTATAGTTCTACGATAAAATCTGCATTTTTTTTAAAAGCTAAATGCTAATGTTAGCATGACTAGATGCTAATATCGAGCAAATCTAACATGTGTTAGTGCGTTAGCATGCTAACATTTGTCTCTTAGCACTGAATGTCCTCAAGGGGACATGAGTGTGTCTGGGTTATTCCATCCTAGATCATACTTTCCAAGATAAAAATTTTAAAAGCTATATTATGAGAACTATTTTAAAATCCCCAAACTCCGTTTTACTTGGATTAGGCTATCTACCAATGCTTGTGTTTTTGTGATACAGATTTGCATGCCTGCTCAAATACTTTTGAAAGTTCAACGAAAATAACTTTATCTTACATTTGCTTTTTTTTAACAACAAGTATTTAATCTTAAAAATTATTCTATATGTTTTGTTTTGCGTTGTTGTGCCATTGAACAACATGGTTCAGAAAATATCATTAGTGGACTTCTGCATCATTTTTTTGGTGCTCAAAGATGAGTCAGTTTTGTTTTTTCCCCCTCATATTTCACCTTACCAAAAATCAGAAAGTATTTTAACTACTTGTCCAATATTGCAGACTGTGACATGATGAACAATCACAGTGAAAATTTAATTTAAATTTTTTTCCAATATTTTCTGATATATTGTTGTTCAAACCACTCAAGTTTCAATGCAAGAAAAAAACGTGCTGAAAGTGGGTTAACAGGAAATAAAATATATAACATCTATCTCTGAAAGTAGTTGGTATATGAAGCTAAAACTTTACAAACATCTTTTTAAATATCCACATTTTATGCTGGAAAAATGAGGACAAATCAGACTGTCAAGCAGAAATTGTTTTAAAACAACTTGATGATTTGAAGTCGTAATAAATTTAAAGATCAAATGACTCTTTTTCCAAATGTTATAGCAGTGCTGTCAAGAAATGTCAGTCAGGGCCATCAGAGTCACTGGGATTCTTCCTATGGAGACCATGAATGTGTGAAATATCTTGGCAGCAGCTGACGAAATATCTCATGTTTGGATCAAAGTAGGAGACTGACTAGCCGACCGAATGACTAAACCAGAATTGGTATTCCAGGAAGCCATGATGTTAGCTTGGTTGATGTTGATACAAGTTGTAAATAGTGTGTAGTGCTTTGATCATGACCAGAGGAGCTTGTGGCAGTGAGTGGAGCACTTGAATGAGAAAGAAGTAGGTCCATCAGTGTGTCAGGTGTCTTAAATAAGAGCCAAGTGTGTCAGTGGATATTTTTGGACGGCAGCGGCGGAGGGTCTGGGAATACAGCCATCAGCCGCGATCTGCTTGACCTCTGCTTGTTGTGTCTGCGTCGGAGAAAGCACAGCTGCTTTGTGAGGGCCGGAGGGTCTCCACTGCGGCCCGTTTGATCTGCTCTCATATCCAGGATGTGATAACGACTTCTGTTAATGTAGCCACATGTCAGCCGAGTCTTCTGCTGCTGCTGCTGCTGGCAGCAAACACACAATGTCAGCCTTTAATTAGAAAGTGTAGCAGTGTTAAAAAATGAATAAGTGCAGGTTTTAATTGAATATTGAGGGAGACACAGTAAATGAGGGGGTCAAGAGCATCAACATCTTTATGCACCAATGTGTGCCTTTTCTGCATTATTGCATTATTATATGTAAAAAAACAAAAAATGGAATATACATCATCTGGATGCAGTTATCCATCCATCCATTTTCTATACACCGCTTAATCTTCATTAGGGTCGCGGGGGGGCTGGAGCCTATCCCAGCCGACTTAGGGCGAAGGCAGGGGACACCCTGGACAGGTCGCCAGTCTATCACAGGGCCACACTTAGAGACAGACAACCAAGCACACTCACATTCACACCTACGGACAATTTAGAATCACCAATTAACCTCAACATGTTTTTGGACTGTGTGGGAGGAAGCCGGAGAACCCGGAGAGAACCCACGCTGCACGGGGAGAACATGCAAACTCCCTGGATGCAGTTATACTTTCTACAATATATTCAGTGGTTGTATGAGCTCATAAGTAAGAAACATGACCTAGTGCTAGAGAAAAAAGACACACTCCTATCTGAGGCATCATTATGTCTTAAGAGTGGCTTTATGGCAGTTTTTCAAAATAGAAGTCTTCTGTTTCTTACGTTTTTACTGGGGGAGCTAATGATAAATTATGTCTTTGTTTACATTTATGGCGCCTAAAACACACTAAGTTATCTTTACACACTGGTACAAAGGTGAAACAGTAAAAAAAAAGAAAGAACCAAGCAATAAAAATAGACAACTTTATTGATTAGTTTGATTACCGTCTTCAACCCAGAGATCAATTGTGCACAACGTCAGGTTAATTTACAGTCCAATGCTCACATGCAGTTTCAGGCATGCCATCATGTATTCCAACCACGTTGTCGTCGTCACGATCATGACCGATCAATTGTGTGGAAAAAATGGTCTAAAGCAAGCTTAAGCAGCACCGCATCTCTGCATAGATAAAATCCAAACCACATCTGCTTAATCAGACATTTTGAAATCTATCCTGCAAAACATGAGGAATATTGTGCTCATTTATTTTCCTTTTTTAAAAAGTTTACCATAACCTTTTTTTCATTTTTTTTTCAAACTTGAATATCAGTAAAATAATTATGACTTTAGGGATGCTGTTCAGACAAGAAATTCAGATTAAAAAAATCATTTTAAACAGACAGTGCTTAAGTTAAAGATGAAGCAACTTTTCAAGTAAAATGTACATATTTCATACAAATCCAGTGTCAGAAGTCTCAACATTCTTCAGTGTCTTAATGACCACATGTGTCACTGCTACAGTCTTTCATTTTGCGTTCAGGGTTTAAAATGCTTTGCTAAATCAAAGTCAGCTCACATCTAATGTGGCGTTTTCTAACTTTAAGTACAACTTTGCGTATGTGCATTTTCGTTTGTTTTTTGTTTCTCTTCAAGTGCAAAAAATATAAGATTGAAACAGTAATCTGTAGCACCATCACTTGCTTTAGACCATGTATGTGGATACACATGTATATAAAAACTGGGAGGATTTCAGTTTCGACGATTTCCACACAACAAACATTTATCAGTCATGGAGATATGTGTGCAAACTGTTACACGTGTTGTAAACAATAGAGGATTTATGAGAGAAACTAACAGTAGATCAAAAATAAGTTAGAATGTCACAATGAAAAACATGATATTTTACATGTTCATATGACACAGTGATTAAAAAAAAAAAAAAAACAACAACGCAAGGTTCATCCTTAAAAGTAACATGTGATGTGGGACTGGAGCTGTTAATTGAAGATAAGTAACATCCCTGCTTGTTGGGTCAAGCCCTTTTACATTTATTTTGTATTCATGACAAAAGACAGCAACTTTCTGTATCTTGGCTCAAACATTCATGTTAAAGAGAGAAACCGATGCTTGCCGGTGCAGGACTGGTAACTCGACCCTAGCCAGACCTCAGGCTCAGTCACGTCGAGGCCAGAGGCCGCAGGAGCTCCAGCTGGGACTCCAAGGTGACTCTCTCCTGGTGAACCACCTGCAGCCGACCAAAAGAAAACACGACCTCTGATCACTGCAGTCTGAGCAAGAGATGCCCCTCGGGCGGTTATAACATTATTTGCTTTGTTTTGCCATGGCGATGACAGCTGAGAACAAGGTTAAACCTCTGCTAGCGGCCCCAAAAGGCTACAATGTTCATTACATCACCACACGTGCTGCACAAAGATTCAGCTGTTATGTAAATTTTACAGGAGCTATGACTAAAATTGTACAATTTGCCCTATAAGTAGCCTTACGGGAAAAGCTGCAGGGTCCGTTCAGTCAGCAAAAATGTGCAATAGATTACACAAACGTAGAATATGTTCAGCATTAATATTTAGAATCTGGGTCCTGACCTTGTCGCTCCTCACAAGAAAGCACAAAGCTCAGCACAGCGGGGAGCGACGATAATAAGTAGCCCCCTGGGGAACGTCCAGTGCCATGTTAGCACAGCAGCAGACTCAAGCCGACGGCCTGCTTGCTATGGCAACAATAGTCTGTAATAAGATTAATCCCCTGAAATGGCCCCTGGTGTTGAGTGCACCCCAAAATATGAAGGTATGAACAGATCTATTCTCAGAGGTTTTACAGTGGTAGGGCTTAAACATTTAAGGTCACAAGGTTGGCTCAGTCTGCCACCTCACGTGGGATAGATTATGATGTGCATGTGGAACATATACGACATTGATAGATGGATATGCTCCAGCATCACCCCTCGCACTGCACTAGAGAAAAGGTCACTGCTAAACTGAATATATATTTGACAATGTGCTCATTGGATTAGGCAGCACTGTGAATGAAAAGCTGACATTCTGGCCTGAGGTTGGCAGTAGAAGGAGCAAAATTGAAAAGGGTTCTGTAAATTTCATAGCAAGTGGCCTGCAGTGAAACGGAAAATTCTGCCTGGTATGGAATACAACGGTGTAAAAATACTCCATCACAAATAAAAGTCCTCCATGAAAAATCCTACTGGAGTAAAAGCAGGTTAAGTCTGGGCATAAAAATGTCGTAAAAGCTTTGAAGTCAAATGGCTGATTTGGTTCCCCTGACTGACATTTATATATATATTATTATATGACATCATTATATCGTTACTACCGAAGCATCAGCGTGTCAGCAGCATGTTACTGTTGTACTTTGAACTACTTTATGTCCAGTTTCATATACAAAGGAAGCAGACGCATCTAAGAGGGCATCACATGATTAATGGGTACGGCAAAAAGGAAAGCTCTGATACACAAATCTGTTTTCACTTTTTTGACTCTTCCTTTAATCCTTGATTTTCGCTGAGATGTATTTTGTCACTGGAATTTTACTGAAATGAAACCATGTGAGAGTGAAAAATCACTATTTGGCAGAGCTGTAAACAACTCAGACATCTGAAGTTTGACCTTGATTACACACTGCTTTTTGGAAGAAGTCAAAAATGTTGGAACCCTCTAGTTTAATTAAATTTCATTTTAAAAGCTTGGTATGTTTTCCGTTTTGTAAAATCTTTATCTTAAAAGTAAGTAAAGCTGTCAGATACATGTAGTGAAGCAGAAAGTGCAATACTTCCCTTTGAAATATGCTGGAGCGGAAGTGTAAAGTTGCATTATATGGAAATACTCCAGTAAAGTCTCTGCAAAACTGTAGTCAAGTACAGAACTTGAGTGGATGTACTTAGTTACTGTCCCCCACTGGCACAGCATTATGACTATCAGTGCTAAATATAATTAGAAAGGTCAGTAATTGCCAATTTATCTTCTCTGAACATCTCCCCTCTCAGCAGCTTTGAATTGAAACTTCATTGAAAGTAACAGACGTTTTGGAATATTTACAAATACTTTTCAAGTTTGGGATAAGTAAAAACCCAGGCTGTAATAGATACCAAAATGTCTGTTTAGTTTTTTGTTTTTTTTATCGATGGAGATTTCATTAAGATTTTCTTGAACTGTCTCCGTGCAAAGTCAAGACAGAGCTCTTGGTTTTCCATCCAGCCTCTTCTCTACACTCACACACCCTGTTGTATTTGGATGCCTGACCAGCCCAGGCTCTATTTCGAAGAAGACAGTTGTGGATGCCAGTGGCTGTTTGGTATTTCAACAAGGCTTGAGTCTATATAAAGACACATATGCCTTTCTCTGCAGAATTCCACAGATGCTTTGAGGGAGCAGCAGAATTAGAAGGAATAAATATCATCCCACATGACCTTATACAAAGAGAAGAATAGGATTAGAAAACCTTGAAATCTGTGAAATCAAATAGCCTGTTTGGATCATATTTGAGAATGGCAGCAAAATAGGTCATTTGTTGCCAGTTCTCTTCTTTTAAAAAAAAAAAAATTCTTTATTCTCTGTTGTATTGAAGCTATAAAAGCACTGCATGTGAGCGTGAAGGTTTCGCTCCTGGATCATTTACGAGGAGAATGACAGGCATGCAGCATGTGCTCCAAATGTGAGTGCGAGCGCCACAGGCAGATCCCCAATGCAAACAGCCAAGTCTTTGCCATTAGTTCAGCTATGAGTGATGGGTCGGGGAGCAGACAGTTGAGCTTGGGGCTTTTCACCAAGTTGGACCGGCGGGAGCATTTGCTGTCAGTTGCAAATGAGCACAATTCAACTTCTGACACACAATCGAGGGCTTTTGGAAAACAGCGTTAACACGAACACCACCATGCTCTCGTGGCTAGAATGCAGTGTTGTTTGATTGACCTGTCAGATTTTAAACTGCACTTTGTGTGTCTAGTATGCAACCTTTTAGATGAGGTTTCTATGAGCTGCGGGGCTGGTTTTCGCATTTCGGTGTCCCGGAGGGGGTGGAGGGCAGAAGGTTCACACAGATGGATGGACACACACTCCTTTACTAAAGCACTGTGCACAAACTGTGTTGTCCTCTAAGGAATAGAAAATGAACTCACCTTAAGCTGCTGCTGGAGCTCGCTATTGAGGCGCGTAAGCACTGCGTTGGTTTCCTTGTTCTTACGGATCGCCATCTGGATTTCCCTCTTCTGTTTGGACAGAAGCCTGAAAGAATGTTAATTTAGCTTTTAAATTCATTGTTTAGGAAGACAAACACTAAAAAGTACAAGACACGTGTGAAATCTCAGTTTCCTTCCTTCTTATCGTCTGTTAATTAAAATGAACAAACTCTCAGACGGGACTGCGTCACTCGGAGACAGCACACATTAAAAGGTCAATACAAAGATCCTTGCAGCTTTACATCAATCAACGAGTGATTGCTTGGAGCCTACGCTTATTGATAGCCGCCTTCCACTGCACTGACAGTTTCAGTGATCTGTCTGGTCAACGAGGAGACAGAAGCACACATGCTGGAGTCATTATGGTGAGTTAGGGTGCGCCTTAATGTTTGGTGAATTCCTCTCGCTGGGTGTGTTTCGTGTGTTTTACGATCACTGTGGAGTGTGTAAGAAGTTCATTGAGCTAATTGATATTTTTGGCCACTTGGGGGCGGCGCAACGAGCTGTAAAGACCGACATCTCATTAGGTTTATATGGCTGACATGCTAGCAGACAGTGGTTTATTTGTGCATCACAAGCATCTGGGTGGATTCATGGTTTTGTTGACCAGAATGTACATGAAACATGCACTCTACTGTTGTCCCTGCTTGGCTTGCCTGTCCCTGCTCCTGAGTCAGTTTTTTGACGACATCAGCAACCAATCTTTTCACAGGTCCACGAGGCTGCTGCTAACTTAGTTTATCTGTCACTGGTGGTGAGTTTTTGGACCCTTTTCCTTGAAAGAAATGCACAAAAAAATTGCAAATGAGTAAGTCAGAGATTGAAACAAAAACTTAAAGGTGTGTTTGTGTGCTGCTGCCAAACAATCAAATTTCATTTTACATCTATGTCAACACAGACTCGCTATTTGGTTTTTTTGGATATAAAATGCCACAACTTAATCATTTTATCCCATTGGACATTTGTGTAAAACTTTGAATTTTGGAGTTTCTACCAAAACACATTTTGTGAGATCTCACTGACCTTTGACCCCCAATATCTAATCAGTCCAAGTTAACGTTTGTGTCAATTTGAAGACATTTTCTCTGGGCATTCGAAAAGATTTCAAAACTGGGACAGATGGATGTCCCCAAAACATATTCCTCTTTTGTAATCTCTCAGTTTCTATATCCTTGATTAATTTCCTTTCCTCCTCTCCTCATATCTTAATCCTTCCTGTCTGAGATGCAAATGCAGAAGCTGAGGAAGATTCATGAGGAGAGAGTCGAGGCAACAAACATTTACTAAATGAGACCTTCTTGCTTTAAACAGAAGCTGCTTTAAAGCTGCTGTTACAGCCTGCTGCTGTGTTTTATGATATTTGTCAGACAAGTATAACAGTGTTAATGACTGCTTACAGTATAGATTTACTTTTAAACAAATTCATATGTGACAAGAATGTCATACTTTTTTTTCTTTAATTTAACACATGCTGTGAGGTATAAAACACACACAAAAGAGCACGATACAAATGAAGTGGCATGTATTATGATGGTGTGATATTATGCTGTACGATATACAGTCATCCTGCTGCCACAATGGTTTGTATATTCCAGCTGTGCCTCTTATAGTCTTAAAAGTGTGCCTCCTCGCTCACAGCTCCTCTGGTGAGCTTTCTCTCTCCGAGATGCATTTCAGCTATTCAGACATCCTTCAAAATGGCGCGCTAAGTTACATTTCTGGGTCACAGGCAGGAGGACGGAGGAGACGAAGTGGCACAAAATAGAGAAATGAGAAGAGCCTTATGCCTCCAGCCAAGGCTGTGCCGGTGCGAAGACATGAAAGGCTTCACGGAGCGATCAATCTCTGTGGGTTTATCACTGCGAGCGACTGCTTCCAAATTACATGTAGTCTTTTGATTCATTGCTGACACAAATATGAATTATACCAGCTCTGACACAAGTCACCTTTCCTGGCCACCTTTCAGTCGCTGCTATTTGCTGTAGTTACCGCAGCACAATGAAATCCATCATCAAATTCAACACGATTAAACCAAAAAATGTCAAGAGTTAAATGTTTGACTGACTTCTGGGTAGTTTTGGCAGCGGGAGGGAATGACGTGGCAGGTGGAGGTGCAGTCTCCAGGTTTTGGCTCTCTGGGTGATATTTCCTGCGAACTGGCTTCTGTGGCGCCTGACTGTGAGAAGAGCCGATGATGTCCTGAGAAGTAAACACGAGACAAAGTTTGACAGCTCATCGCCACAGACACAGAGAAACTTGAGCAGCAGAGCTCTTGCATGTCTTGTCTGTCAGCAGTTCTGACCTGTTTTGACTGATTCGTCAAGTCTTCAGTACTTGGTCCAAATCTGGAGCGTGGACTCTGCTCTTCAGGTTTCATGCTGCTCTCCTCCTGCAACACAAACAAAAGGAGAAAGCAAAATTTAAATGCCCCTAAAAGTTAGCTCAAAACGTAGCTTAAAAGATTCCCTCCTACGAAGAGAAGAGTGTTGATGTCATGATGAGAATAAATGACATGAGGGAACTGCTATAAAGAGGGAGGATGAAATGCATCTGCCGAACCGTAGATAAATCAGCTGCTTCTCTGCAGGGACCACAATGTAGTGCTCTCCAGACACTACTTTTTGCCTGCTCAGAGGCAGCTACGATGGATTTCCTTCATTTTATTGCATCTCCTTGCTGAATTTCAGTCGTTATTCTCCTCCAGACATAAACTTTAATGCTTCAACACCTGTGCTCATTCAGCAGAGAGGTTAACAGTGCAAAAGTGTGAGGATGGGCCCTTCACAGTGAAAAGTCTGAATTTTGGCTCACAGCAAGAATGCAAGCTTAGTTGATGTAAAGGTTGAGGGCACCTTCTGTAGGTTCTCACAACGTTTTCCCATCTGTTAATGTTGTATTTAGTAAATTTGATCCATTAATTTCTAAGGGCTGCTCTCTCCATTGTGGTGGCAGCAGAGATGCTTTGGTTTTCCTGATGGTTTAAACAGGCCCTCGCTTTAATTTGTACCCATGAAGACTAAAAATGCATTTTGCTGAGAAACGTTACCAAATGGCACTGAAATTCACTGGATGTTCGACACAACCGCAGCATGGAAACTTTTAAAAGGCACTGTAGTAGCTATTACAGTGGCAATGAACCACAAGAGCCCATTAGCTGTCTGTGTGGTCACGTCAGCTGCAGGTCATGGCTGTTTCACTCCAGCAGGGTGAAGGCTGCTATTATGCAAGAAGTGCCATCACTGTCACCAAGGCTTGGTGAGGAATGGCTTTCTACAACTAGCCTAGTGTGACTGGAATAATAAGAACAATAACCAGCGAAAAGAGGCCAGGTCAAATTGAAGTAGCTACAGACACTACAATTCTGTGTGGTGATTTGTGTTTGCAATGAGAGAAGCTTGAAAATACACCAGAGGAAGGGAAAACAGACAACTTTGGCTCTGTCTGGCTTTTTGTCTGAATGTATTAGCTTCTGCGATGGATGGATGCTGACTCTCTCCTCTCTCAGGAGGAGACAGCGGGCCTTGGAAAGCATGGATGATAGTTGCACTGACAGATACACGATTTCAATTCTGCTGTGCTTTGGGGAAAAAAAACAACAAAGATTTAGAATACACAAAGAAGACATGGCAGCAGTGTCTCAGCTGCACTTCACATTAACCCTGCTGCGGTCACGATGAAGGTTTGTGGTTTGGAAATGTGAAGCAAAGTGACATAAAGGAAGGTAAGTGATGTAAAATAAGAGCAAAGTGGGTCTAATGTCCCTTTTTTGGTCACTATATCACCTCTTAAAAACTCATCAAAATTCCATATTTAGATGCTTTACTGTGTGAAAATAATCTCCTACTACTTTAAAATGGCTTAGATGTAACTCCACACTGTTGTGAATCTATGAAGTCTCCACCACCCCTCTGCTGCTCGCTGCAGCTCGAGCACACCAGCTCAACCACGACTCTGTTCAAACACTGTGAAACAACTCTATGCTACTCAATGACAAGTTGTAAAATTGGAGTAATTCAACAATACAATTTCAAACCAGAAACTGATTCTGAAGAAGAATAAAGACACAAAAAACTCCACCCTGTGAGCTGACAGGATCGGTTCTTTAGGTTTGTCACATATGAGACCCCCGAAGTCTGAATCTGTATTTATGAGCCAGTCATCAGTACACTGCAGCTTTAAGGGGGAAATACTCAGCCATGGGACTGACTGCTTATTTCTTCTAGCAAAAAACGACATACGGATATGATAACAAGGTTAAAAAAAAAAAAAAAAAAAATATGATAACAAGGTTAAAAAAAAAAAAAAAAAACTGGAGAAGGGAAAATGACTGTATGCAAAAATGGTTTCAGTGAATTTAAATGATGTAGAGAAAAAAAATGAAGTTAAGTGAAGGGAAGAGAGGTGAGGTTAAGAGAGAGAGAAAATTAAGAGAGGTTAAGCAAAGTTAAGTTAAGCAAAGCTAGGTGAAGTTAATGTGAAAGTGAAATGAAGGGAGGTAGATGAAATAAAGTGAACTGGAGTGAATTTGAGTGACGTTAGATAAAGTAAAGTAACAAAGTGGAGCTGATATAAGTGAAGTCATAAGCTCCTACTACACTTTGCTCTTTTCTTAAATAATAATACTTAAATAAAAACTTAATGAAATGAACCAACAAAGAACAGTGTATATTTACAGCTGCTGGCTCTAACTACTCCCAGGAGCCCTCTGCAAAACTTAGTATCAAATATTCACCTTTACCTCCGGACCAACATATTTTATGTAAAGGAAGTTATTTTTAACGACACCTATAGTTCACTCATGTAGAACGTCCCTCTGAGGGGTTTGGGCTGGTATGAGTTTCTGTTTGTCTTACTAAGTGAAAAATATACATGCAGGGTACAGATACCTTTGGGATCATCACGTGTGGCTGGTTTTAATTAAGTAAAACATCGTGTAAGGAGAACGAGACATGGTGATACTGCAGAGCCAGCAGCGATGGGAAGGAGGAAGTAATGGATACAAGAGCAGAGTGAGAGCAGTGGAAGGTCGCCTTAACCACAAGCGATAACAAAGACAGCACAGGAGGTACGAAACGGATGACACCGGAGGAGGGAGGTTGGATTGAGTCGGTCTGAATTAGGAGCTGCTGTGCTCTTTAACCTCAAAACTACATCTGGTTTGTCAAATAAATGCCAGAAGGTTGGAGTCACAAAGCTTCACTCTGTCTCCTAAGACGACAAACAAACACTGTGCAAAGCTGTGTCAATACAAACCCTTTGAAAATGGGAAATGGGGATTTTTTTCACCTGCATTTCTGGGAAATTTTGTCCAATTAATGTCTGTCCCAGGGTCATGTAGTATGCCTACTGGGCACAAAACTGATTGAAGCGAATAGATTCAGTCATTCATCCCCCTTGGAAGTTTTTCAGTTGTGTTGCTTTTCAAGGACTGAATTGGGTCAATTTAATTTGGCTTTTTTGATAGGATTTCACAAAAAAGACTCTTTCATGTCAAAGTGAAAAGAGATTTCTACAAAGTAATGTCAATTAATTAAAAATATATTATTTACAAATACCACATATACAGCATTGAGTCCATGTGGTTGGGTCTCAATCAGCCTTGTACATCTAGAAATGTACTTTTACTGCATTTTTCTATGTAAAACTGCTCAAGCTCTGTCAGGTTTTCAAAGGAAATGGCATTTTACTTTGGCACAAAAGAGTCTTTTTTTCCGGTTAATTCTAGCCAAAAAGTCAAGCTGTTTCCACTTTAAAATGAATGAGGATATTTTTTGTAAATTCTTGACAAAAAATGATAAATTGACCATGATTCAACGTTGAACAGCAATAAACCAATTAACCTTACGTTAAGTTGTGTAAATGCATTTTGTTCTCATTGTCAAAGAAGAATCAGAACAAAAAAAAAAAACATGATTTCAATAGTGACCAAAATGTTGATAAACAGGGATTATGATTTTTGTCATAATTGAGCAGCCCTCATAGCTGATATGATAATAAATGAAAATATGTAAGTGCCGTTTAAGAAGCAGCACATGTTGTGTAGGTTGAAGCACTATGATGTCAGTTCTGAAGGGCATTAACCAGGCGAGGAGACTTCCTAATATGGTGCTTGCCCATGCTTCCTAGATTAGACTCCCCACTGGGAAAAGAGGAAATGTTAAAGGTTCTCATACAGAGCAGAAATCACAGAAAGAGAAGTACTTCTCCTGAGTGGATGAAGCTATGAAAAGGCAAAAAATGCTAAACATATGGTTTCACAGAAGAACTTGAATAATTTATGTGCTACATTTAATTGAACATAATTTGCTGGAAGATACCTCCTTCAGGCTCGATGATATAGAAGTATATTCTGTGTGAGATTACTGTCTAACAACCTTTACAATGTTTAGAATATTCATCAGTGTGCGGTTAAACATGCACTGGTTACTGTGTGGTGTAACAGGATACTGGTGTACATTGCTGTGGATACCAAAGTTGCAACTGGATGTGCGACATGTTGCTCAAGCCATAAATAAATCCTAGATGTCTTCATTTGCTCGCGGTCCACAAAACCCCAGACTTTGATGTACACCGATGTCATAACCTTTGAGTTTCTTTGTGCCTTGAAATAGAGGCTTGTATATTTGTCAAACACGACCTCTGTGACACATTTACAGTGCAACATCTGAGATGGAAAAGACTGCAGTGGAAAACGCTGACATTTCGAGAATGCAATTTTGAGTATGCCTGCTTTATTATTTCCTTTTTCGCTGAGACAATTTGTGCTGCTCCTTGCTACATTTGCAAGTTCCGACTGAGACAAATCAAGGAGGGAATTCGTAACGTTTTAGGCTCACCTCTTCTCTGAAGTGACTGAAGTCGGCAAAGTTCGGCTGCTGTACTTTATTCGGGGGAGGCACCTCTGAAACGTTGATAAAATGAGAAACCTGACAAGAGAGGTGCAAGGTACTCATTAACCAAAGCTGTGTTTCATCGTTAATTTATGAGACGTTTAAACTGTCAGAGGTCAGAGGAACAACAAAAGCTTTGTTCGCTGGCTATAATTAGCACTGACTGCTGCGGCTAAAATCTGTAATCGAACAAGACTTACCTGTGAGGTTGATGGTCTGGGAGGGAGGGCTGGAGGAGGCAGCAGCCAGCCACTTTTTACCCCTAAAATGCACAAAGAGAAAGTTTACACAAGTTACACAAAGGATGTTGCACTTCAGGTTTCACTCCAAACACAAACATACCACCCACAATGTCAGCCTCTCACCTTCCTTACTGAGCAATAAAAACCACCCATCTCCATTTCTGCTTTTGTCTTCCCGTAAAAGGAGAAGTGTCATCATCAAAACACAGTAACTTGTTTGCTTCCAGCTGCTTATGCTCTCAACATCTGTGTTAAAAAAAGACTCATATTTTTGGAAAATCTATGTGAAACCGTGGTTGCTGATTGTACCTGGACCTGCACCCTGCTGGAAGAGCTTGTTGAGGTCCAGCGAGGAGGCCCTGGAGTGGGTTTTCTGTGGTCGCGGAGGAGGGGTGGGAGGCTCTTCTGCCTTCTTCATGGCATCTTCGATAGAAGTGCTGGAGTAGGACCTGGCGGTAGGTCACATAGGTGGCAACAATAATGATTAATGAGCATCACGGGTTTAGGGGACATTATTTAATTCATTTGTGTGTTGGAAGCAGAGTAATCTTCACCTTGGTCTAGTTTTTGTCCTCATTTGTGGGTCCAGATCTTGAGGTGGTTCTGTGAGAGAGGATACAGTAAACAAAGGTGTGTCAGAGTTTCGCTCTTGTTTGAGCGGTTGTAAATGAGAAGCAGCACTTCCTGTTATCCACAAACTGTAATTTCACTTGTGTAAAGCAGCTCAATCTACACAACACATAATCATCGGTGCCATTGTTGCAGATACTTTAATTACCAAAATATGACTGCCATGTGCTTTCAAAGTGCATCTGTTCCTGAAAAGACATGCTACAGTCTCAGCTAAAGCACATTTCAAATAACCAGGCAGTTTCACAACAGAAGAAAGGTTCCTAATGTGGTTTAAGTACCTAGAGTGTCAAGGTATTTGTGGTACCTCAATACTATCTGAAACGCATGACTTATACAGATGTACTACAAAGCAGAGAAATAATCCTCATTTTCCCACGTTAAAAGGAGTTTTAGTATCACCTGGTCTCGCAGGAAAAGCACCAAGTTGTAGCCTCTGTTTCTCTTGAGTCCCTGCCCTCTGCACACTTGAATCTGCAGAAACAGAAAGAAGGAAATCAGCCACAGAAATGACTACATGAAGAGTGCATGACTTCAGCTTGCACAATTTTTAATAAAGTAATGGTGGTACATCGTGTGAATGTGTTTTACTGTAGTGACGTATAAACTGGGAGAGCAGAGAGTAATTTTATTATTTTAAAATAACAATGTGTCTTACCATTTCCTCACTGTTTCTTATATTTTTTTCAGGGTTGTGTGGGATAGCAGGTATAGAATTAGTTTTTGTCCATTTCTTTCATATGTGCACAGACTGCAAAAGCAGTATGAAGACTTTGTATATTGATTTTGATTATTTGTATGTGCTGCTTTATTGATACCTTCTGTTTGTAGATAAAAAACAGAAGGACAGTGAAAAAGAGTACTGAAAGATCTTTTAGTGCCTAGTGCACTCAAGAAAAGGTGCACTAGTTTTGCATTTTGCTTTTAAATATAAAAAAGCTTTGTACTATTTGCTCAAATATAATTTTTAAAAAGTATTTCTACAGTAGTGTTTTACCTTGTTTACTGGATTCCTCTTTCACATCTTGTGTGATTGTGGTCAAGCCTGGCTGGAGTCTCTCTATAATGCCTCGATCCTAAACAAACATACACAACACACCATCACTGCCTGTAAAGACTGAAATAATGTAACGCATGTAGAGCGTTTCAGGAAGTGTTCGCTTTTGCTCCAAGCTCAACATGTAGATGTGAGTCCAATGCTCTCGGACTAAGCTAGTCCGTCTCATGTTCAGTTTATTAGTGCCCCCTACAGGGACCACAGAGGGACTCCACATTAGCGTTTTTAAAAACTGGCAGAGTATCTGAAGATTTGTCTCACCATCTGACTGGGCCTTGGTTCTGTATCCTCAAATACAATTAAAGGCTCTGCACTCTGCCAAAGGAAGCACACAGTACAAACAGCTCACTTATGAATCAAGATTCATAAAATAAACGACAAAAATGAATCTTTCTGCTTGTGTCTCGTTACCTCAGGAGTGTCGGGTATGTCCTCTTCAGACTGCATGAACCCCGGCCGCAGGGTTGGAGGAAGGCTCTCTGGAAGAGGGTAACCATTCTTGCGCGCCACAATCAAGTGAAAGGCTGTGCAGAACTCAGAGAAAGTGAGAGCTCCATCTCTATCCACATCACTCAACTCCCTTGAAAAATTAGTTAGAAAGATGAAGAATATCTGCAACATCTGCGAGTGGAGCTTTAAAGTTATGACAACTACATGAAACTTCAGTGAAAAAACAAACCGGACTTCCCTTTAACATTTTACCTCTCATCCAAGAGGCTTGTTCAGTTCGAACTGAGTTAAAACTTAGAACTGAACAAGCATCTTGGATGAGAGATGAACTGTCTTGAAGAGAAGTCCAGCTTCTTTTTAGCTGAAGCTTCTAGAATAACATGACGGTTTCATTAAGACTGCCAATAATGATGTTATTAAAAAAATCATAAGTCATTTGATATAAATTCCAAGAAAAATAGGAATTTGCTTGAAAGAAAAGAGCAATTTAAAGATTAAAAGGATTTATATAACATACGATTCAAATGCAAATTTTTCACATAGTATCTCCATTTTCAGTTGACCTGCCTGGGACTCACAAATACATTTAGCAATTTTCCAGAGTTCCTTTAGCAACAATCTACTCACACTTTGATAATTTGCCAAATATAATTTTGTTTTTCTTCTGTGAAACTTTTTAATAACTTCAAATATATCAATTCTGAAGTCCATTAAAATAAAGTGTGACCAAAATTTTAATTAATCTCTTAAACATGACACTGTATTAGCAATGAGCAAGTATGAACTGACATGTTTTAGGTTTATAGATTTGCTTAAATTCAATATTTATTGTCAATGAAAGCTAAACCACGGCATATAATCACATCAACAGAGAGGACATGAGTAAATGTGCTGTTTTTAACATTAAAAGAAAGGTTTGATATTTGTGCCAAGCTAAGGTAACTGCCAGGAGTTACCTTTTATGCTAGGCTAAGCTATGCTAAACTGAACTAAGCTAAGCCGAATTCCTAAAATGTCAAACTATGCTGACTGTGAACAACAGCCTAAAAGTGGAATTTTATTCCTCCCATTTTTTTTTTTTTTAAATTACTAAATCACAGCCTATATAAACTATTAGCTGTGTAGGTGAACATAGTTTTGTCAACACAAATAGTTTGACATTCATTTGAAGGTAAACAAACAAACAACTGAAGTTTGCATACAGAAAGAAAACAGGGAGAAACAGCTTGTTAGTTACACTGTTCCTCCGTGGTTTAATTTGTAGGTAAAGTACAGTGTTTAAATTAAACACTGTAGCAGTGAGTGGATTTTGTTTCCTTTGGAGTGAACCAGGTCAGCTTTCGACATGTTTCTGGTCTTTGTGCTAGTCTAAGCTAACCAGCTGTAGTGTTGTATTTAGCATAAAGACATAAAAGTGACGTTCATTTTGTCATCCAACTCTATAAGAAAGCAAAGCCTTTTTCCAAAATATGACAGTATTCCTTTAATATTGTGAAGAACAGTTTGCATATTTAAAAGAGTCCAGTGATGTCATTTCCAATTAAAATTTACTGAGTCACCTTTTTTCTTACAATAAGGGCCTTTTCATGCATATATGGATATTATTAAAAACACAGCTATTTCTATGCACTTTGGTATTTTGGCTACATGCGATTTAGGTCTCTCAATATGGACATGTTGGAAAAGTCCTTCCATTGTAAAGAGACATACAGAGTTTCTCTTTGCTGTACTGACATGTAGACTGGGAAAAAATGAGTTTTTGGCTTGTGATGAGTGTCTGGTGTTATCTCCTTTATTCACATTAAGTGATTATGTGCAGTAGTGGACATAGCAAGAATGATGTGAAGTCTACCGTGACATTTTACATGTTACTCTTCCACTATACTGAGGAAACAAACGTGTTAGAATCAGTCCTCATATGCACTACGACTTACTGGCAGCCTCCTGGGGCTGGTAATAGCTTTTTTCAGGCTTTAGGGTAACGGTTACATCACCAGCTGCTGTTTTTGCATAATCTTGACAGCACTTTTTGTGATTCCATGTGGCTAGACACTTTTTTGTGAACAAAGTAGGAAAACCCTTTTTTAAAAAAATACCTGTGTACGTTCACATGAGGCCTAAAGCTATTCAAAATATTACTGTGGTGCAACCTTGTTTAGGAATGAGAAGTACAGTAGAGGTTTTCACTTTAAAACTGAGGCCTCTGTCTGCCTCAGCAGGCATGCTGAGCACCCAACTGACACCAGAACAGAACAAGGACACACAACACAATGAGTCAGCACTTACCAAATGTGAGAGAGCTCCGGTATTGGGAGCTTGGATTTTGTGAAGAAGTTCTTTGCTACCGCTCCTGGAAAAATGTAACAGGGGGACAACAGTTTGATAGCATGATTTTCAGTCTAAAAACAGGTGCAGGTGGTGGGGTGTGCATACCCAGGATCAGAGCCCCCAGGTCAGGCTGCAGGGTTTTGAATTGATTAGTGTAATAATCCAGCTGTTCCTCTGTGATCCTCCAGGGGTCGTCGTCAGTGTAGTCCACCAGACCCTGCTGATCGAGCCTCTCTACTGAAGAAGCCTGAGCAGACAGAAACTCAGAGTAAGATGTAGCATAATATAAATGACAAATATAAATTTAAGAAAATCTGGCCGTACCCGAGCCATGGCCTGCTGCTCCACAGTGGGTTTGGTCCCGTAGTTGCTGGGCGAGGAGTGCTGCTCCAGCTGAACGATCGGCCGCGAGGAATGTTTGCTTTCATAGGCTGCAGGGTAGAGGAGAAAAACACAGCTTTGCTGGATGAGAAACCTGAGACTGACATGCAGTGATTTCCTGCTGATTACGTCCCTGAAAAATGTGATCCGACAGAATGACAGACTCACAGATCAAAAGGAGCAGGAGACAGAAAAGTAGGAATCAGAGTTTGGAGGAATGAACAGGTGTCACAGATTCAGCAAAATGTTTACTACTACACTCACTGCCACATCTTTTTAATTTAACTGCATCTATGATTCCTAATGAAAGCGAGTCATAGTAATGGTTTAAGAGTGAAAACTGTCTTACCGATCTGAGAGTCAACCCCATTTCTCTGCTTGGAGTATGGGTAGCTGCGGTAGGTCAGTGGAGAGCGAGGTGGAGAACTACACGGTGATCGTGGTGGAGACCAAGGCTCCTTTCAACAAAGGGACAGTATTGAAATATTTTTTATTTCACATACATAAAACAGTATATATGTTATATGTGTTTACTCCAAGTTACTCCTAGAACAAGGTGCTGGAAGACCTCCAACTAACTTGACAGTGAGACTGCAGTGAGATCTGATGAGGGTCATCTGTCACTAGCCAAGTTCAGACGCTCAGATCTCCATTGTAGACATGGGCACTCTGATTGGTTTGCAGCTATGTAGCTCCACATGCAGCAAGCTGAGATCATAGACTGTATAAAAGATGGACGTAGCTGCCGTGACGTCACCCGTTGGTTTCTGCACTGAGAAAATGAAGCCAGGGTTTTGCTACTTCCTGGTTGACATCTTGGATTTTTGGAGCCAGTGACACAAAAATCGTCGGAGGGGGGCGGAGCCATAGGAGCAGCGATTGGTCAGACGGATTGAGAGGCAGGCCCTCTCTGCCCGCCCACATTTACTGCCTTCTGCTTGCTTCGTCTGCATCGTTGCTGCCGACTGTCAATCAAAGCAGCCACGCCCCTTGCCCTGCAAAATTTTGACGATTTTTAAAAAAAAATTCTGTATTGATTTATTTTCAGATTGGCCACCTGATCTCTGAATTTGACTATGAAAACTAATAAGAAAAAAATCCTGAGCTGTAGGAATGCGGTATTTCGTGATCTGTGATCACTTCTTTTCCAATTCAAGTCTATGGGAGCCAGGGCTTTTTGGAGCCAGCAGCTAGCGGCCATAGTGATATTGCAGGTTTTTGACACTTCCGGGTTGGCTTCATTTTTTAGGGCCGGTTGCTACATCCATCTTTTATACAGTTTATGGCTGAGATGTTCTATGTGTTGTTTATTATAGCCAACATACAGTTTTCAGGATTTATGCAACCACATGCATCAATGGTGCCCATGACTCCGTTGCTGGCTTACCAACTTTAGATACTAAACACTGCTTACCAAGAACAGCCCACAAGACCTGCCGTTTGGGACATGCTCTGATGTAGTCGTCTAGCCACATCACAATTTGGTCCTTGTCAGAATCGCTCAGATCCTTACATCTGGCCATCTGTCCTGCTTCTAACATATCAACTTCAAGAGCTGAGTGCTCACTTGCATTTCAATATAATCCACCCCTTGAGATTATGAATGATTGTCACTTCATCCATCATTTAAACAGTGTTTCATTGTTGTGGCTGATGTCTGTGGTTTTACACTGGTTCTAATACGACTAATTCATGATATTAATGTCAAATTTTGTCCCTCCTGCCAAGCTGTGGTCAGAAAAGTCATTAGTCATGCAACTGTGATGATCATGTTCCTCCTTTGCTTCTTGAGTTAATACAGGACAACTTGGCATGGCACACACATCTGGTTTAGGTTTGATTTGACACCCTGATGGAGGCTTGTCATTCTTTTCTAATCTCTGATCAATGTGGTATTTCTGCTCTGGCAGAAATAATCTGCTGTGACTATTGCTGACTAGAATGTGGCCACACCACACAACTGCCCTATCATATCTGTAAAAGTGATCAATACATGAAGCTCAAAACTATTTAAATCTCAGATGGCAGTTCACGCGTGATGTTTTTCATGGGACTAAAATGTTTGTCCCCGGATCACCTTTTTGTCTGCATTGGCCTCCAGGTGTCTGAAGGTGCTCCTCTCCGCTGGAGTCCAGGAGACAGAACCGGGAGCTGATCCACACTGAGCCCCCTGAGCATCGATGCTGGGAGGGACGGCTGGATATCGCACCTCTGGTTCATTTATAAGCCCAACAAATCTGGGCAGAGGTAGATCTGCAAAGACAATATGAGGATACTTTTTAATTCTTGTTTACCACAATAGATTGTTTATTTCCCTTGAAACTATTATATATTTTTTAAAAGTCTGGTTTTAAAGTTTTGTCTGATCAGCAGCTTCCTGCCTAATGACCTTTGATACGGCTAGAATTAGAATGAGGGAATTAGTCGGGATGAGCGTCTTTACATGTCTTATTCAACTGAGGTGAGCTGCTCCTTCACACTCCAGTAAACATGACCCTCTGAACATACTTCTTTTCATAATCCATCCAGCTATGTGGTACCATGAAGAAAACAGATTTTCTCGTTGGTCGGGGTGCGACTGATTGTGCGTTCATGTAATAAGGGCAAACCCACTTAGCCCTTTCCACGCGACTCCCCTTTCATCCAGATTAGACCAAATCCTGCCATGTTAAGATAATCTCCTGATCCCCTTTTGCTCTCATAAGACGCCTCCTCCCTGAGCAGCAGACTTACTGGCTGTTACACTCTCCAGGCGGATGGGCAGACCAGACTGGGCGGCTGCGAGCAGCTTCAGGGCCACGTAGAACTGAGGAGTACCGAAGTAACCCAGACGTTTTGCTCCACACACCTCAGTCACCTGAAGAAGACAGAATATCAGAATAACTATTAAAGAGGGAACAAGTGTGGGCTATACATTCAAACCAGTTGAATCTCTAATTATAAGAGTATAGACTATCATTTTACTAATAAACCCAAATATGCCTGAAACAATGTTTGCAACATTCTGACTTTATTACTTATTTCTAATAATCCGCTTCTCTGATACATCTCATCTTTCATACTGCCTGCAGTGTTCTCCTTTTCTTCAGAAACACTGTCCATCCAGGCCTCAAGCATGTGATTATTTCACACCCTGATCAAGATAATGTGTGGTACAAAATTATGTGCTCAACTAACAGTATAAAGATGGAAGAAACAGTATGTAAGGGATAAGCAGCACAGTGGGATCTGTTTATCCTGTACCCTTTTGATTGGAGGTACAATGACCGCTTTAGGGGGAGCAAAGAAGATTAGGATTATGTGGGACAATCAAGAACAGAAATCCCAGAAATGTAACTGAAATAACTTGCCTTTTGGCAGAAAAGAACAGGTTCTTTAACACTAAAACTGTTTAGAAGTGAATTTAGATGGGAACATGACCTCTTCTGTGGATCTCAAATGTAATAGTGAGACAGACAGTAATCCCTTTGTGTCATGATGTTTGATATCCTATGCCCACACACAGCCTTCAGACCATTTTTCCTAAATTCCCAGAAGAAACTAACCAGTACTTCTTTGCTACAAACCTGATGGGTAATTTGCCCATCAACCCATTTGTCTAAGATTAGGCATACAAAGATAATATCAACTCAAACATTAGCACTATTGAAACCATATTTTTCCGTAAATCGTACTTTAAACAATACGTATATTTGCTCTCTTGTTGAGACTTAAATGAGAAAACTGAAAGCTCTGAAGCTCCCACCAGGTTAGCCACAGCTTAGCTTAGCTTAGCTAGCATCAAGACTGGAAATAGAGAAACAGCTAGCATGGCTTTGTTTTCTCTGTAAAATCAGAGCTTTTTGCTTTTAGACCTTAGTTCTTCAAGGTAAACATTAACTGTTAGCTTAGCATAAAGACAGAGAGAAACAGTTAGCCTTACTCTACCCCTTACATGTATAAATGTATGGATTTTTAGGAAAAAATAGAGACTGAAAAACTCCTTTAAAATCGGTTTGTGTTGCATTTACATTTTAGTCTTCAAACAGTTAGTGAACTAGCAATTAATTAACCAATAGTATAGACATAGTTTCACATTTGTGTGAACTATGCGAACCACTAGCAGTTAGCTAACTTAAAACCACTTAGTTAGCTCTTTCAAAACCACAGTCTGCTGCTTTCACATGACCAAGTGATAATAACTAATTAATTAACTAGCCAATCAAGAAATCTTTATTACAGAGATAGTTCCATTTTCATACTAGCAATGCTAACCACCGACAGCTGATTAGCTTACCTCAATGCAAAAACAGAGGAATCAGATAGCATGACTTTATATTGACCTTGAAACCACAGCATGCTGCTTTCACACTGTCATTTTTCAACCAAATGTTTATTAATTAACCAAAATTAGAGCAATAGTTCTGTATTTGTGCTAACGAACGGGTGCGCGCTTCCATGTTGGTCAGCTCAGAGTCTGTTGATATTTTCATATAAAATAACCAGATTAAAATGATTTAATGTACTGCCAGTTGTAGCTTTTAATGTATATTTATGATTGAATTGGGTGAATCAGTTTAGGCAGAGTGCACTCAGCGCTCTGTGGTCCATTTACACAATGCAGACATAATGTGGGTACAATTTCACTTGACCAAGACTTTCTTTGGTTGACCACAGTCCTGTTGCTTTTACTGTAGTTTTTCAGCCGAGTGTATATAAAATAATCAATATTAAAGATATTAAAGAATAGTTTTGTATCTTTTCTACCAGTGGCAGTGCAGGTAGCATGGCTTTATTCCCAGGTACCTACCACCTATCAGCATTGTATAAAGAAGCTAACAAGGGCCACATTTTACTGTATCTCTTTCGTTTGATCTCTACAAAACCCAGCGTGGAGACAAACATCACATTGTGGGATCACAGACTAAGTTAAGTAGCTTGTGGCGGTAGCTTTAAACTGTACGGTATTTACACTAAAGGAGGTATTGGTAAGATATTTGTTCTTTACATTATATCCGAGTTCATTTTCCAAATTCTATATATGACACTTCCTGCATCTTAACAAGACAACACTGACTTCCATCATCATTACAAAAAGGCTTATATGGAACAAGACATTCTGCTAAATAAAGTCTTTTCAGCACAAGTCACAAAGGAGTGACTGACAGATTCCAGACTTCATTTTCTTGTGGAAACAAAGGATTACCACTAGTTATCTAACACTAGAAAGTTTTTCATAAACACAGAAAATCCAAAAATCTCCTTTTAAGCGAACCACTAGAGCGTAATATTATGCAAACCCACATAAAGACTCTTTTTTTTTAGTAAACACTGGCTGGTATGTGTTTATGAAATATGAAATGACAGGAGTGCTGCTAATACTTATTGTCTAATGAGGTTGAGGGGCCGGTTGAGTGCATGTGGCTCATATTGCCTTATGAGACATTACTTCTGCTTGACCTGCATTGTATTCATTCAACAGCTTTCACAGGGACAGGACATCCAAAACAACCGCAGTCTCATGAGAGGCTGAGCAGACAGTGGAGGTCAGGTCTGCAGTGTTGCTGAGTGCGCCCGAGGTCACTGGAGAAAGATTGATGTTGGGGATTTTTTCAGGGCCAACGGTGAAGGCCCGGAGGAGCCAGACTGACAGGTCAGATCTACGGCCTGAGGGGAAAAGTTATTTAAGGAAGATGGAAAACTGCCAAACACATTTCAGCGCACATAATGTCACCAGTGAATCATGTGCCTTGTTGAGAATGAGAAAATCTGATTTAGAGATGTTACTGTAGTAGGCAGACTGTCTCACACGCTTCCCATTTTTGAATTTTGCAGCAGAATTTTCTGTTTAACACATCACATTATACTACCACGGAAAATAGTCACTGCTGTAATGTGAATTTAAGAATTTCGTTAATTCAACCAAGACTGAAATTCCTATTGCGTGTTTGAGCAAATGTTGGACCCCATCAGTGGTGTGTAATTGTGTACCCCACTCCTATTCAGAGAGATGTATGTTCTATATATGTGAAATATATAGTTATGGTTGCTTTTAACATTGTGCTTTTAAATTAAAAACCACACGATAATTGCATAAAACATTTCATTGTCAAAGATTAAACCAGTGGTTCCCAGTTGTCAGCAGTTCCACCCAATTCTTACTGAGGTAACTGCTTCAGGTCCAAAAAAGTAAAAAAATGTCCATTATTTTTCCTCAAAAGCAAAAATTAGACAGGAAGCATCCATGCTCTGATTTACCCTTTGACCCTTTGGAGGGATCTGAGTCCTATAGTTTAAGAAATACTGCACTAAACATTGGTCTGACTGTTTAGATATCGGATGCAGGGATAAGTCCACCACTGGCTGCTCATTTCCATCGACTTTCTTCACGTGCTACTTTCCATTTTCTTCGCTATGGGAAACAACAACAAGCTCTTAGCAGCAATCTACCACAATGAAAATGAAAGTTTGGCAGAGGATTTGAATCGTGCAGTAAGGCAGTGCTGCTATTTTTTTTTTTAATCTAGTTGGTGGATTATCCATTTTAATCACAGTGCTCGTCTCCCTGCATGCAAATGTTCCACCAAAACAATTCCACTCGTCGCTATTTTTAGGGACCCCCACGATGACTGTGATTGGTTTAAAGAAATATAAACAAGTCAGTGTGTTTTTTATTCTCCTCATATAGCAAAATGATAGTGAGGTGCAGTCAGACCATTATGTGCAGAATTGGCTGGCAAAGTGAGACGACTAAACTACAAACTACAAACACACTGATCAGCTGCAATATTAAATATATACAGTGGGTGATACTGATCATCTCATTACTATACAGTGCTCTGTTGGGAAACCTTTGGTTCTTTGACATGTACCGCCTACCTAAACATTGCTGCAGACCATGCCCTCCACCCGCCTCCACCAGCAGGACAATGACCGTCGCAACACTACAAAAACTGCTCAGGAACATGACCAAGAGCTTAAGGTGTTGACCAGACCTCCAAACTCCCCAGGTCCTAATCTGATTGAGCACTGAACACCCCTAAGGCCAAACCCCACAGGAAATGCGCAGGCTAGCTGAGTAAACACATATTTTTACGTTTGATACTATTAGTACATTTCATTGATAACAACTAGAAGTATGAATGCAAGACTTGGAGTATTTTCACCTTCTTCCAGCACTGCAAGCAACACTTTTACCACCAAACCGAGATGTCACAACAACGCCGCCACGCAGTCCGACACCTCATGCAACCAGACAGGTTTGGCAGCCACATCCATCAACACATCAGTGAACATGCCTCGGAGCACAAACACATACTGAACACTTCAACTACAACCTGACGACAAAATTCACATATTTGTACTGTAATTCCAGGTAATTACTACAAGTTCCGGGTTGTGACTTGATCTGTATCACAGGAAAAACTCCAAACGAAAGCCTGTGTATTCAGAATGGCTGCTGTGGCTGTGATCATGCTCCCATTGTAAAACAATATGGCGGATCATTTGCATAGTTAGCAGTGAAAATGATCTCAGTCAGTAGCAGCGTGACCCAACGTCTGTGCATGTCATTGTAATGAGCTCACCAACTGATTTCACTGCAGCAGGAGGAAGTGTCATGTTTTTCCACTTATCTGCTGTAAACACAGGTTAAACAACAGGATCCTTCCTCTGTAAATCTGCTCACTGTGAAAACATGAGTCAGTAAAACACACCTCCACATACAACACATGTTGGAAAACGTCCTTGTTTTGAGAAACATCACAGGGTATTAACAGCAAAACTTAAAAAAGTCCAAATCACAACATAACATCTAACCCATCATAAAACTGAGAGGAAATATACGATTCTGTGATTCTGTGTGACATGGTGACCTAGAAGTCAGGACAGACTCCAGGAGTGATCCTGCAGGCATCCTGCAGCAGCTCCAAACACAGCTCACAAGACTGTGTGTCAATCACCTCCGAGTGGTGGCGGCGATCCAGGCCGGACAGGAAGGAAGCGCAGCTCAATGCCAAACTTCCTGACACCCACACAGACACACAATAGGCTGCCATTGCTGGGAGCCGACCTCTTGGGACAGAGGGTGGCCTGAACGGAGGCAGCGACCTGCTGTGTTCATCTGAGCTGGAAAAATGTGTTTATATATTCTTGTGATGGGTCAGCAAAATGACTTGGTAGTTCCATGTTGGAGCCAAAACAGTTCAATGCTGCCACTGCTAATAAGTTTTCTGTCAAGCATGTTTGGTATCAAAGCTTAAATCATAGTTTATAACTTGCAAAGAGAAAAAGAAATGGTACCATGTTGTTTAGTTTTGCCTGGTTTCAATTCGACTCTCTTTCTTTCTGAAAAGATTTTGAAAGACTTAGTGATTAAAGTAGAGGATTAAAACCTAAAGAATCACATCAGTGCTCGCTCCTTAACTACAAACTATGTACACTATGTATTTATTTTTGGTATTTTTTAAAAATTCTGTAGTTTTACTTGTAGATATTTTAATGTATTTTTCTTGCTGCTCCAGGCATCTATTGACTTCTATTCGTTTATGTACCATACAAACATCAGCAGACTCAGGTTGTAGATTCCATCACAGTAAACATGTTATCTGTCAGAGCTGAACAATTGATCAATTTTAAACTGAAACTGCAATTTCAAACAATGTAATTATCAAATTTCAAAGGTTACAATTTAGGATGTATCATGCACCATGTCTGAGCCACGGTTTATACTGTTGGGTCAATGGTTCTACAAATTCATGCCGCTCTCCTACTGTGACGATCACACTTCTGGTGATACATCAAGCAGGACTGCTCCATCATAAATCGTTCAGCCTTAGTCTGTATGAGTAGAAAAGTTTGCACAGCATTAGCTCACACTAACAACGCAACTGTAACTTGCTTGTTTGCATGCCTAAAGTGACTCTTTAATTATACTTGAACAGTGGCACCATCATAAATTATAGCACAAACTTCACGCAAGTGGAAAAAGTCATGAAGTCAAAAAAGTCTGCAGCATCTTGCTCAATTCTAGTTCTAGAAATGCTAGTCACCAGAAACTAACCAGGTCAGGCCGCAGCAGCATCAGCGCTAATGCAAACCTGCACACAACAGAAATACTTAAAAACTGATCTGTAATTTCTGTTCTAAGGACCAACAGAACATATGAACAGTTAAAAACCAGTTAATCAAGAAAGTGACAAAAGTGTAATTGCTACTGAAAATAATCACTGTCATGCTAAATGCAGTGAATGGGTTAAAACTGCAAAACTGCTGGTGTGGTCCTTTAAAAAGGGAAGTATTAGTTAATCTAACTCTTATTCGTATGTGGTATCAACACCAGCAACGGTTCTAATGCAAACCTCCACAAATCAGAAATTCAACGGTAAACAGGTTCAATACAAATCACAACAAAAAGCGTAACCTTAAGCCTCATTACAATATCTAAAATCTCTCTTATGAAGTCCAACAGACTATAAAAACAGCCCATCAGTTATTCAAGGGAGTGACTGAAAGCTTAACCACTATTTAAAACAATCACTGTCGTGTTAAGTGTAATAAATGGGCGTAAATTGCAGAAACCACTAATGTGTTCCTTTAAAAACAGATTTTAATAACTTAACTCTTATCGTCAGGTGGTACCAACAGCAGCTCTCATGCAAACCTAATCTGAAATTCCTTGGATCACAATAGGAAACAGTCTCATTGCAAATCAGAACTAAAACTCTACAAAAACAGATAACTCCATTTTTGTAGATTTTCAGAAAACTTATTTTTTTTGTTGTTTGCTTGAGATAATATCGTTCAAACTGAAGTTGAGTGGATTAGACGCAGCAGAAATCACATGACAACAATAGAGACAACTTAAGTTTGATCGATATTGTCTCAGGTAGACGATGGGAAAGGGGTATCTGAAGGTTTGTGAAGATGGAGTTATCTGTTTTTGTAAATGAACTCTTCAATTTCTCTTATAAAGGCCGTCAAACCAACAGTCAATCAAGAAAGAGTCCTGTTAGGTGTAAGTGTAGTAAATGGACTAAAACTGAGAAAAACACTGATGTGGTCCTTTAAAAGAGAAGCTTTTGTAAACCTGACTCTTACTGTCATGTGATAACAACACCAACAACACTTCAAATGAAAAAATCTGTCATCTTTAACCAGAAGGTTAAAGGAAGAATCTCTGCCGTGTAAGTGTAGTAAATGGGTTTAAATCTGAAAACCACTGGTGTGGTCCTTTAAAAACACATTTTAGAGACCTAACTCTTATCGTCTTATCGGTACCAGCAGCAGCTCTAATGCAAACCTAATCTGGAATTCCTTGGATCACAATAGCAAATCAGAACTAAAAGCCTATGACTATGAAGCTAACTTTAAAATCTGCAGTTTGTCTTATGAAGGCCATCAGATGAACAGTCAATCAAGAAAGAGTCCTGTTAGGTGGAAGTGTAGTAAATAGACTGAAATTGCAAAACCACTGGTGTGCGCCTTTAAAAGAGAACCTTCTACAACCCTTACTCTTACAGTCAAGTGACACCAACATCTTCACAGAAATTCCTTGGACCACAATAGTAAACCGACTGACTGCAAACCAGAACTAAAAGCTTGAAGCTGAGTATAATGTCTGTAGTAAGGAGCAGCAGACTAGACTGATGTGCTGAGGAGACATATGCAGAGCTGTGAGGAGGCTTCCTGTGTGACAGAAGGCTCAAAGACGAGGAGGTGTGTGACTCCTCTGTGCCTCTCACAGCATCAGGAAGCAGCTCTACCATCAAAATGCGCCTCATTATCACACAAAGCAGACCTCAGACTGATCCGTGAGTCTCTGCTCGGTGTCTCCTGCAGATCTGTGAGCTTTGGGCAGCGGCAGCAGCAGCAGCAGCCGCAGCTTCACCCTGGGTAACATGTGATGACCAGGCAGGCGCAGACACTCACTTTATGCAGGGACTCCGCAGGCAGCTGAGACGCCTTGAACAGCTCCGCCACTTTGCCGGACGACAGTTTTCCTGAAGTGTCCGCCTGGCACAGACCGTGGAGACCTGAGTAATACCTCTGCTCGTGTTCGTTCAGGGGGATGAAACTCCCCGCGGACGCCGCACCGGATTCCTGATCCATTCCCGGGGCTGACGCATGGAGGATCCGCCGGAGAACAAGCAAACAGATCAATACATTGCTTGGCCCGGACGCCGGCTCCTGTTTCCAGCCGGAGAAGGAGGAGGAGGAGGAGAGGAAGAGGAAGGTGGGAGGGTTTGGCAGGTGGTGGTTCGGCTTCACCTCCTCTGAACAGTGATCCCTGTGCAGACAGACTGCTGATCGGCTCGTCCACTCCTACCGCCTATTGTGGCTGATTGTAGCAGCACCGCCGTCCGCCTGCAGGGGGCGACAGAGCAGCTGCTGTCTTATCCAGCCCATAATAACGGAATCAATTAAATGCTGTTTTATTACCGGTTATTGTGCCGTCTGTTGTACTGCATCAGATTATATGACGTCTGTGCAGTGTTTAAAAAGCAATAAAGTCTGTGAATAAACGATTAAAAATTAATCTGTGTCACTTTAAAAAACTACTGTATTTCCCTCAATGTACCTTAAAAATAACAAAAAATAATGATAATAATCTTTTTAATTTCTATGGCACCTTTAAAAATGGGCTCACAAGGTGCTTCACAAACATTTAAAAATAGGAAACATTAGAAAATAAAACATTAAAAAAAAAAAAGATAAAGCAATAGATAAAATTCTAAAAAAAAAAAATCCAAGCCCACTTTTTCACTTCAAATTGTTGATCCATGTTCTTAACACACAGTTTATGCCAGATATTGAAAGCTTAGGTTATTCTGGGGGAAAAGGGGACAAAAAAAAAATCACTCATAGTATGATTTATAACTCTTTTATAGCCAAAATATCAAAACAACAAAAAAAAAAGGATATAATAATATCAATATGTAAA